GCAGATGCTGAAGCTGGACAAGGAGAACGCCATCGACCGCGCCGAGCAGGCGGAGGCCGACAAGAAGCAGGCGGAGGATCGATGCAAGCAGGTGGGACCCCTGACACCCTCCCCGCCGTGCGGCCCGGGGACCCTGCCTTGGGGGTGGCCACCCCCCGGGACACCGCCGTGTGGGGCGCCCAGCACTGGGACCTCACCCGAGTGGCACCCAGCCCTGGGAAGTTCACCCTGATGGGTGCCCAGCCCTGGGGACCTAACCCCAATGGGCACCCAGCCCTGGGAAGCTCACCCCAATGGGTGTACAATCCTAGGAACTCACCCCAATGGGCACCCAACCCTGGGACCTCACCTCTCCCTGTGTCCAGCCTTGGGGACTTCACTGCTGCTGGTGTCCAACCCTGGGGACCTCAGCCCACTGAGTGTCCCACCACTGCCTTAAGGGTGCTCACCCCCCAGTCATCTCACACAAGGGGACCTTGGGGACCCTCCCCACTGGTGTCCAATCCTGGAGACCTCACAGCGTGGGGTGTCTAACCGTGGGGACCCCTGTCCCCATCAGCGCCCAGCCCTGGGGACCTGCGTCCCACCAAACTGACCCACCACTCACCTTGGTCAGCCTCAAACGCAGGCTGTGCCTTGCTAGGACACCTCAGTGCCCCACCGGCTGTCTCCTCGTCCCTCTCTCATGGAGAGCTTTGGGACAACCTGCTCCCATCCCAGGTGCATAGAGAGGGAAGTCTCCGTGGCCTCCGGAGCTGTGTCTCCAAAACGGGACCTAAACAGTCCCCAGCACAGGAAGGCGGCCACCACCTCCTTACCCCATCAGGCTCAGGGATGCTGGAAGCTGCCCTGGTCCGGGGGACCCTGGTGCTCCCCAAGGACCTGCAGGCCAGAGCCGGCAGAGCGAGCGTGTCCCTGTGCTCCCTTCCCATGGCCCTGTCTGGGCCGGGAAGGTGCCCGTCCCCCTCAGCCCTACGGGCACTGCCAGCACGCTGGAGACCCCAGTCCTGCACGTCCCCACCCTGATCCCTGTGCTCCTTCCCTTCCAGCTGGAGGAGGAACAGCAGGGCCTGCAGAAGAAGCTGAAGGGCACGGAGGATGAGGTGGAGAAGTACTCCGAGTCCGTCAAGGAGGCGCAGGAGAAGCTGGAGCAGGCGGAGAAGAAAGCTACAGACGTACGTAGGCTGTGCAGCACCCCCTCCCCGCGCGGGCAGAGGAAGAGGGGAGCCTTATATGGAAAGCGCCTGTGGGGAGGCCTGGCAGGATCCCATTCCCGGGACGCTGACCTCGAGCGGGGCTGAGCGGCGGCGGATGCAGGGCCCGGAGCAGCCCGGGGCCGGTTGCTCTGCCGGGAACAGCCGACGGCTCTGCCGGAGCGGAGCTGCCGCCTGCCCCGCTCAGCCCCGCGCATCCCAGCGGGATCAGCGTCCCTGGGCACGCAGCTCCGGAGCCGCCCCGGGAACGCGCCTGCTGCGCTGTGTGGGAAAGCCGGGAGGAGCGGGAAGGAGCAGCCGCTCTTGCCCGTGGCCAGCCACGGCGGTGACGGCGCAGGGGGCTCCGGTGGGCAGCCCGGCTCCCTGCCAAGGATGCGTCCGGGAGCCCTTTTATTTAGTGTTGTGGCTGGGGTTTCTGCTGAGGAACAGATCCCGCCGGGATGATGCGAGGAAGGTGTTGAGCTTGGCTGGCGGCAGCCGAGGGTGAAGGGCAGAACAGCTGTGTGCGCCCTCGGGGGGCCGCGCGGGCTGCAGCGGCCGCGCTGCCACACCGGGTATTTGACACCCTATAAATAAATCCTCCTTTTGATAGCCAGTCCTTCTCCGATGAAAACCAACCCTGGAAACTGGAGGAGAAGCTGAAGGGGAGCCGTCTGGCGCGTGGCCAGCAGGGGCCCGGCCAGGTTTTTTGGGATTGAGCACAAAAAATTCCACCCTGGCTGGTTTAGGGAGCTAAATGGGGGTGAGGCGTCAAATCTCCGAGGTGGCCGCCAAGGACAGGGGAGAGCAGACAAGGACGAGCAGCGGGAGGTCCTGGGGCCACCGGCTCCTCGGGGGCTGCAAAAGATGCCGAGAAGGAGGTGGGGGCCGGGTGGCCTTGGGCGAGGAGGTGCCCATTTTTCGGTGGGGTCTCCCCAGGGTGACCCCGGGCGAGGAGGTGCCCGTGGCTGGTGGCGTCTCCTCGGTGCAGGATGGAGCTGATGCCTCGTGTGAGCTCCACTGTGGACCCCGTGTGCTCCTGGCTGGGGCACCTCTGGGGTGCACAGCCCTGCACCAACGTGCACCAGTGCCCAAGTGCCCACGGGGCCGGGCAGAGGCTCCAGAGGGACTTTTGCCAAGGTCTGTCCTGGGAAAGCTGCGTCTTGCCTTGTTGGGCTGCCCCAATTCCGTGCGATACCCTAATTCCCTGGCTTGGAGCAGCGGGCTTGGAGAGGCTGCAGCGCCTGCGCACGCTTGGACTGCTCTGGGCATGGGGCGCCCCGGCACAGGGGCAGGCACCGCTACCTAGAATGTGTTGGTGTTGGGGATGAGGGGTGCAGAGCGGAGCTGGCGGGTCATGACGGGCCCTGTGGCACCATCCCGGCTGCCCTGCTCGGGGGCATTGCCCCGCTGGGGCTGGGGCTGGGCGGCCGCTCCGGAGCTGCGGCGCGGAGCCCCGAAGGAGGTGTTGACGCCTGACGGGTGCCCCGTGTCCGGGACACCGGAGCCGAATGTGCTGACAGGGCTAAGTGTCGGGGCTCGTGTTGCCTCCTCCAGCGCGGGGCCGCGACCAGGAGCAGGGCGGCTATCGGGCCAGCAGCGAGCGGAGTCCCCGAGCGCAGGAGTGTCCCCAGCCCTCGGCTGGGTCAGGGTGCCTCACGTCTAACCCTGCTCCAGGCAAAAATGTCAACAAATGCCTTAAAAGAGTAAATCTCCCCGCGCTGCTCTGGGACGCGGCTGGCACTGGCCTGTGCCGGCACCGCTGAGCTCGTGGGTGGCACCGGCGCTGAGCTGGTGCCAGCGCCACCCCGGTATCGGGGTGCTGACGTGGCCGTGCGGCGGTGCCGCTTTGCAGCACAGGGCAGCTCTGCGGAGCAGCAGCCTGGGCCGACTTGGAGGCAGGGAGAGAGCCCACAGAGCCACCATGTCCTTGTGCCCCAGAGCGGGGGACAACCCCTGGCAGCTCTTACAGGGGCTCCGGTGCAGGCTGCACTAGGTGTGGGGCAGGCAGCTCTGGCAGGGGCTCCGGTGCAGGCTGCACTAGGTGTGGGGCAGGCAGCTCTG